GATGATATTGATACGAAGAGGAAAAGGAAGTTGAGAGCTCGGCTGGTCGAAGAAGAACAAGGGGCAGGAGCACTTGTGGGGCTTCGAAAAAAACCTGCATATTTTAACCTCTCGTATAGTATACGGTTTACGGTCAATATAGTATACCATAATGACCGTAAACTTGGTTCATTCTCTTCACAAGCTTACTTGCTTGAACAAATCGCTAAAAGGATTAGATAGCCAAAATTTACATAGTTGTAAACTATGGAGTTAAAAGTGACATAGTCGCCAATTATATAGTTACACAATACACGGTTGCAAATTATATAGTTACGAAAACGAAGTTAAAAATTATATAGTTACAAATTACGTAGTTGCCAATTACATAGTTACAAATTTCATAGTTGTATATTATATAGTTACAACTTATATAAATAGTCACTAGCTGTGTTTTAAGTTGCGTCACGAGCTAATTTCACTCTTTTCCCGCGTAACTTGGAAGACGACAAAAACTAAGGTTTCGGAGAGCCAATAAGGACGGCGGATGTGAAACAACTGCCAATGCATCGCTAGACCAGCTCCCGTAAAGGGCTGCCAAAAGCCCCTTTCGATGCCAGAGTTTCTGTTGACTCAGTGGAAACGAAGCTTCCTCTGTTTGTCAAGGTGTGCCAAAACAGTGCGTGGAAATTCAGTACAGACGGACAAGCGAAGTACAGCCTCCAAAAATACGAAAGACCCATTCGCTTAGACAGTATGTGGCGTTGTTGAGGAGACGCTAGCCTCATAGGTACTTTATTTTTAAAGAGAGCCACTATAATAATTCGTTATTTGTTTCTTCACCCCACGGAATGCGGGCTTCGGCAAAGCGAATTCGGCTCAGCCGCCTGGAACTGCATTGATGTATGAGTATTTCATATTAATAGGGGCCGTACATAAAGCGTTAACTTTCTTGAATTCTTAACTTATTATACCGAGGGCAGGTGGGTTAGATTAAAGGAATTCTTTGTAGCAACCACTGTCTTCAGCAGATTTGAATTAGCCTAAGCCCTAGGAAACCTACTATTTCGTGTTAGAAACCCAAAAGCACGTGACTTTTAGGAAAAAACAAAAAAAACATACACAAGTACCGCGATCCAAGCTGTTGAGATGTCAATGCGACGTAGCGTGTACATGCGGACATTTCTTGGCGTATACTAACGTCACGCATGCGCAGCTCGAAGTTGTTTATCATTAGTCATCGTTTCCGGATACAGATACGCGCGGCGCCCTGCCTTCCTCCTCGCGTCGTTCGCGACGCAGAAAGGAATGAAAGGGAGGCGGCACTGCTGCAGGCCCATCATAATTAACCTCGTTAGTTGATGCTGCGAAGCTTAATGCGAGGCGGTCTCGTGCAATGGCTGCGCCGAGAGCAGCACCGCCGCGCTGATGGCATTAACGGGACCGGACTAAGAAGCGACTAATTAGCGCCCCCAACAGAGTTTCCCTCGGACGCCGCCAGGGAGCTCGCACAGCCTTTTGCCCGGGGGCTTGCCCGTGTATACCGACTGCTGCTACAGCGTCGCAGCTTTGTTTTTTCGTGTTTTTTCTTTTTCTAGAGCGTCTAGATTCAAGAGAGGGGGGCAACTCAAACCATAGAGAGTGTTTAAAATTTGAAGGCGGACGCTTCTTGGGCAGACCGGCTGCTCGTGCGCATGCGCGAGTTGGCGCGTGGCGAGGAGGATAACGGGTGGAAACACTGAGCTAAGCTCGAAGGGGCTTGCGAACGATCGGCGATTTGAAAACTCGGCCCCTAAACCACGTGACCCCGATCATCGACCAGTTCGAAGCACTCTGAAATCCGGGCAAACTTCATCTTTCCGCTGGTCCCTCCGAGCTGATGAGCGGCGTCGCGACCTAAACTGCTGCTCGATGTCTGTCGAGTACGGGCTCCACACGTGCGCTCAGCTCGCCTTCTCCATTCTGCCGGGTCGATGGAATGCCTTCGGAGTCGAAGCTCATTGCTTAGAGGAGGACTCGCGTGGTGGGGAAAGGTATATAGTTGTGCAAAGGCGGAGTTGGGCGACGGCGACGTCGCGGACTCAGGAGACAAGGAGCAGAAGAAAGGCAAGGATTTGGAGTCACCGACAGGTTTGAACAATGTAGAATATATATATATATATATATATATATATATATATATATATATATATATATATATATATATATATATAGATATATATATAGTTTTTTATCCTTTCAGATTTGTTTAAAAAGCCGTGAAAGCTATAGACTTATGTGGTTTGTGCAGGTCAGTTATAGGGCCAGGGGGACATAGTATAGGAAGATAGTCGCAACTATCAGCCGGCTAATTAAGTCAAATGTGTTAATTAACGTTTTAATTAGTGCAAATAGACATATAGTTCTAATTAGAAACTTACTGAGCATCATCGAAAACCACTAAATCGACTATTTTTAGAAGAATATAACGCCGCTGCAGCATTTTACGGCGTTCTGTAAAAACGCTCGATTCGGACGCGTTTCTAGATTTCGGTTTCTTATCGGAGCGCATCTACACGCCCGCGGTCCTGCTCCCCATTGGCTGAGACGCGCAGCACACGTGCGCCCTACTTCCCTCCATTCTACGAGGGAGGCGAGGAGGTGGCTTCGCGCCGCGGACACCGGGGAGCAGGACCGCGGGCGCAGAGATGCGCTCCGATAAGAAACCGAAATCTAGAAACGCGTCCAAATGGAGCGTTTTTACAGAACGCCATAAAATGATGCCCCGGTGTTCTAACCTTTTAAAAAGAGTTGATTTAATGGTTTTTATTGATGCTCAGCAAGTTCCTAATTAGAACTATATCTATATGCGCAGTTATTAAAAGTTAATTCGTGAATTTTAATTAATCAGCCGACGGATAGTTGCGACTTTCTTCCTATACTATGTCCCCCTGACCGTATAACTCACCTACACAAACCGCGTAAGTGTAGCTTTCACTGCTTTTTTTAATACAAATCTGAAGGAATAAAAAGAAACACCATATATATATATATATATATATATATAGAGAGAGAGAGAGAGAGAGAGAGATAAAGCTACAATGTATTGATACCACCATGCGCTTCTGCGTGGTCTGTTTAAACACCTATTTTTCAAAGTTTTACTGAGGCGTGCCCGCGGTTGCGAGACTGGATGTTGACCGCCGAATTCAGAAACCTCACTCAAACTACACTCAAACTGAAGGGCCCCTCCTCTTCCTCGAGGAAGGCGCGAGGGCCGGCGCTGGCCAATCGCGAGGACGGATCCGCCGCCTTCCTCGAGAAAGTGGAGGGGCCCTTCAGTTTGAGTGTAGTTTGAGTAAGGTTTCTGAATTCGGTGGTGAAGCTTGGCTTTATCGCAAACAAATGTAAGCCTCTAAAAAAGAATAACAAGAACGAAAGGTTTATGAGCACTGCCACGGCGATTGTGCAGGCTTTTTCCAACGCTTCTGAACTTTGTGAGCTATAAGCTTCGTGCGTCAAGTGCTGACTTGGAAACTTTTTTTTTTTTTTTCGAAAGGCCTAGGATTTGCCTCGCTTTGCAGAATAATTTTCATTTAAACACTAGGATTGAGTTACCAACCATTCATAGTTGCCTTTAACCGCAATGCTGGTAGCAATAATTGATATCCTGAGCAAAATTGGCGCGTAAGATTTTAGTGTATCAGGCCGTCAAAGGTAGCTCGCTTGCTAGCCTAAACAAAACTTTAAAAAAAACACGATGTTTGGCAGTCAAAACATAGCCAACAGCGCTGACGACAGTACCCCTGTAAAGAAGGGTGAATGTCAGACGGCTTTGAATGAAAACATTTAAATAACCGTAAACAAAACTGAGCTTCTGGTTCTATGCGTTTCACATAAACACGCGCACTGCGCTTCCGCTGCACAAACGCAGGTGAAGCGGGGGCGTTTTTGCAGCTAATACTAGATGACAGGACATGTATCAGACTGGCACCGGCACGCGCTCCTTACTTGTTTCGAGAGCAACTAAAATAAACGACGTTCGAGACTCACGACGTTTCAGACGTTTTGATGCCTACAAGTATTCTTGACAGTTAGCTTTAAACATTATCTAAAATCGCAGGACACACTTTTTGGTCGTCATAAAATGCTAAAACAATCCGTGAGTGATCACAACAACATCTCCCGAGCTTCCTGACAGCGAATCTAAAGCTGTAGAAGTCGCCTTTTTATTTATTCATTTATTTTATTTTATTTCAACCATATACAGCCGACCGTGATGCAAAAGGTTGTGGCTAGACAAGCTAAAAGTTAAAAGTATTAAAAGTATTACCGAAAATAACAGACATATTTGCACTATATTTACCGCACTTGTCAACACAACCTAAAAAAAAAAAAAACAGAGAAGATTACGTGGTCAAGCAGTAAAGCATAATGCATTTGTTCTGTGTTTGGTTCTAGTTGCATTATCACAGTGCGCGTACGTAACATATATCTGTGCATTTTTATAAAATAACAACCACGCAGCGAGTGCAAACTCAATTTACCCCAGTGAACATCGTCCTGGAGCTATCGGTCACTGCGCCCACTTTGCGCTAGAGTCGGCGGAAGATCAACAACGCGCAGTGGAAGCTTTTCCCACCTCTGCTAAAGTGGAATTAGGTAGGAGGAGGTACCACTTTTAGTCCTAACCCCCTCACCAACTGTCAGAAGGAAAATGACGGCGTCCACAAGACAACAAGGAAATGGAGCATTTCCTTGCTGTCTAATGTATACATATTTGTTGTTTCTAATGTATACATATATGTTACCTACAACTTGAGAAACGCGGGGCGTGGCTTGTCGTGTTTCTGCTTCGTGATTGGTTCTTCGACATTCTTATCGGCTAATGCAGCAATCTCATTAGCCGAGGAGCGATAATGAGATGCTCGAAACTCCCTGCGTTTCTTAAGATGTCAAGATCTCTCGTGGCCTTAATACTTGTCTCTTCGGGAAGAAGCCTGCTTGGTACACCGGCGTTTCTCCGGCCTTGGTGTGCGCAGGGCTGCCGTTCCAGAGCCTGTTTCCGGGCGACCCGGGATCCCGGCCGTGCCGGCGTCGCAAGGCGCGCACCGTGTTCAGCGACCACCAGCTGCACGGCCTGGAGAAGCGCTTCGAGGCCCAGCGGTACCTGTCCACGCCGGAGAGGCTTGAGCTGGCCACGGCGCTCAGCCTCTCCGAGACGCAGGTGAGAAGGCATCGCCTTTCCCGCGGTGTTCTACGAGCGGGAGAAGGGGCCGCAGTGGCGTCGGAACTATTCGAGAGCGGAGGTAGGGGGGGGGGGGGGGGGAGGATTATTCTAAAACTTCAGCTTCGACCTAAATCGCGAAATAGTGAGCCTCCGAAAAATAAATCGTTTAAAGTATAGGGGGTAGAGCTTAAGGCATCTAGCATTGAGGTCTAGGCAATATATCCTTTCAATCAAATCCAATCAGAGCTCGGCGTTGTTCTGGCGTCGCCGCAACTCTCGCGCAAGAAGCGGACGACTTGCTCTCCGCGTAGCATTGCGCTCACCCACTAATCAATCCCGACCAGCGTTCGAAATTCTGATGACGTCCCGCTCTCTAGTCTCCTCCTCTCCCCCAGAATACGGCTCCTCTGATAGAGAGATGCAAAAATGCCCGAGTGACGAGGAAAGTGCGACGCAGTTTCGCTGCATCGCACTTGTGTGGGATGAAACCCGTGGACGACATTCTGTGGCTATGCGGTCAAAACTACGGGAGCGCGCGTATCAGCGCCGATTAAAGCCCTGCGCGTGCACTCCCCCTCTCGTCGAAAACGCCACAAAACGTTATTCACGAGTGCAGCATTGAGTCTACAGTATGCTAGAGTGAAGTGCGTAGAATTCGAAACAAATGCGATTCAACTCCGAAAGCACCCGAGCGTTCGCTCTGAAGCTCGATCCTGCTTTAGTTTTTCTTGGGTTTGCGTCCCCTTCTTCGCGATGTTTTTACTTGATATTTCTGAGCTCGTTTTATGATGTTGAATTGGCCGATCATGATGCTTAAATTACAGCTTAATGCTCGTATAGACTTTTTTATATAAAAGTAACGAGTAATTAGAGAAGTTTATTATAAATATTTTGCAATAGAATGAAATGTACAAATTAGAGTCCGAGGGAGCAAATGTAATGTTGAAGATCACAAAACTAAATTAAGACAGACCAAAATCACAGGCAATCTGTTACTTGCAACGAACTGCTTCCCAGGTCTGCCACAGGAAAAGTGATCCTCGCTAAGTGGATCATTTGCATTTTTTGCTGAGGAAGCGGTACATACTTTTTGTTATAATGAAATGTCTATTTCTCAGGCCGCTTTGGCGTATATTTTCTTAGATTTACAGATTTGTTTAAAAACAAAAAGATGTGAAGGCTACACTTATGCGGTTTGGACAGGTGAGTTATACGGCCAGGGGGACATAGTATATTGGGCTAATCGTAACGACCAGTCGGCTAATTAACTAAAAAAATTAATTAACTTTTTAATGGGTGAAAATAGTCATACAATTATAAACTTGCTGAGCGTCGTCCGAAAACCCTAAATCTCAATCTTGCTCTAAAAAGAGAAACAAACAAAAAAACTGGAATTTTGTTGTTGTTGTGTCTTGTCACGTCAGTGATTACTGCAGCGCTGTGCGCGACCATGGGTGTGTCGCGGTGGTCGGCCTTGGACGATTGGTCAAACTCTCACCATAACATCTTGAGCATGGTAAATTGTCATTTCATTTGTTGGAAATAAAAAGAATATCAGACTGTTAACTTTAACAACTTCCACTGTGTTTCCCTTTTTTTAAACACTTTTGAACTTGTTACTGGCAATCGATAATCCTAGTCATGTAGTTACAGTTAGCAAGCATATGGGGGAGCCATCAAAACGCCTTGTCTCCAATATAGCGTAATCAATGGAAGTCATATAGTTCAGTCCGCTTCTGCCGTGAGCGCGCGCCGACGGCGAGTGCTCACAGTGCTTGTTTTCATTGCACGCCATCTAGATCGACGATCCTGGCGGCCAATAAGTGTGAGGTGGTTGTCATGCCCAGTGAACTAGACACGTAGCCAGGGGGAAGGCCCATGCCCCCCCCCCCCCCCCCGAAATCTTTCATTTTGCTGGAACCTCCTTTCCCCCCTCCCCCTCATACAGCATTTTGTCATGATTTGGGCGAACCAAAATTCTGGCTACGTGCCTGCAGTGAACGGTGCACTTATGGCGGCCGGTGAATACCCCCCTACGTGAAAATAATCGAAAATATGAAGATGAATGAACCCTACTTGATCGAATGAAAGAAAGTCTACGAAGCCGCCGAAAGACACCGAATTTGTTTTTCTCGGCAAGAACAAGTAGGAATGGCAAATGCTATACGGCGCGATGAGCCGCGGGCGTCACTAGCCCGCTGCTTGCTGCAAACGGGCATAAGTATAGCCGCCAGGCAGAGTAGAGAGTATTGCGTAAAGGAGCAAAACACGACAGAGCATACGCGTCGTGGAGCACAGTTCTTGCATTTGTTGGTATACACGGTGCTTGCGTTTGCTTGTGTACGGTGCAAGCGCACAGTGTTTTCATTCGCTCGTATGCGGAATACTACGACTCACTAATGTCCTTGAGGTGAGAGCGGCAGTGGGCTCTTTCGACGTAGCTCGAGTGGCGTCAGAGTGCGTCCCGCGCAGTTGGCGGCGACGTCAATGATACGGCGATAAGGCCCTCAACCAGCCCACCAAACGGTGCCGATCGTATGCGAACCATTTGCCCCAAGCTGGCACGTGTGAACTGCAATCCAACACCCCGTCCGGACGAGCGGCGCGTGGCGGTGCATCAACCGTCTGGGGCAAACGGCGAGGGGCCGCGCGTAGGAGGCTTCCGATTTCCGGTTGGGGGTGTGCGGGCCTCGCGCCGTGGGTTGCATGGGAACGCGCGGTCTCAATGGGCCGGGGATTAGACCCACCCGCCGCGTGTCCTTCGACAGAAGGGCCGCCTAATTGGCCCTGCCATGACGACGACGCTGCGTCCGATGGGGTCCGCAACAGCCGCAGGTAGACGCTCTTGCGAAGCTCCTTCGTTTCAGCTTAAGTCAGAGCCCGGTAGACGCTACCAGCCGATGGGACGCATCAGACAACGTTAACAGCGCAACGTCATTGTGTTTGTCGTGAGTCTGTTATGCCCGAGTCCCACTAGAGCGACGAACAGAAACAAACGACAGCGACAAGCCTTAAACTAGAGTCTTTCGGGATTTCACAGGCTTTGTAGTATAAAGGAGGCTATGCTCAAACACGAGCATAATGCACGAGAGGGTATCTTTGGCAGGCTCGCAATCACTCGTGCTTACTTCAGGAGCAGCGAACAACTAAACGCCTGCCAAAAGTACCATCGCGAGCATGCTGCATGTGTTTGAGGCTTGTTGCTGTCGTTTGTTTCTGTTAGTCACTCTATAGTGGGATTCGGGTATTAGTGTTTTATCATCGCTAAATCAATCACGTATACAGAGAGAGCCAAGGGATGTGCGTTTATAGTATGTGTTTTTGTCGATATAGGTCTTCGTGCCTTCGACTGCTCTCGGATATGTGGTATGAAACGAAGCACATGGAGTGAACGCTGAAAATGCGCCCATGTCTGGGGGCCTGCTGCAACACTGAAAGTTGTTGTTCTTAACGCAATGATCTGACTTCTTAAGGCACAAACATTTATGAGAACAGGAATTCTATAGATCTTTGGACGAATGTGTTCTTAAAATAATGCGAATAAAAAATGAAAAAGGACAACGCTGAAACGAGGACCTTCATTATGCTCGCGTTGTGCTCGGCACGTTATTTGGTCTGCAATTTGTGAGAGTTTGCTCATCTCTTCGAAGCATTCCTGGGGTTCTTATGCGCGTTCACGAACACATACTGCAGCACTTGGCTACACTTTTTGTTTTCTCAATGTTGTAGCATATTTTTAGTCATCCCTCTCCCCCTTGAAGATTCTTGTCGTTAAGTAAAAAACGCTTGCGCGGGTGGGTGACGTGTCGTCATCCTCTCCTTATCGCACACGCGCGAGTCAAGTGAGGGATGTGCCGCAGTTCTCAGAATGCATCTCATGTAGGAGGGGACTGAAAAGAAGAAAGTAACAGAAGCGGCGACGTGCCGACTGTTACCGTGCTCGACGTGCTAAGGGCTGAAGGTTCTCGGAGCGCCAAAGTCGCGGACATATCGTGCTTAGCTATGGGGCTCGTAGTAATCTAATCTGCGAATTATAGTTTTATTAGAAGACAAGGAATGCGCATTTCGATAAATCGGCAGCGAAGCATCGCGGAATCAGAAGTAAAGCCTCTTTTAATGCGATAGCATTCCTTAGCTACTTCACCCGGTTATCGCGATGCGCTCTCTGGCCTCGAATACGCCGCGCGTATGCGCACATCGTCCTTGACGTCGTACTAAAGGTCGTCCTACACGTCATTCTTGAGGTCGTCCTTGAGATAACTTTAGAGGTCGTCCTATAGACGTCGTCTTGGACGTCATCCTCTAGGACATCAACCTCAACGCCCTCCTGGACGTCGCCCTTGGAATCGTCCAAGATGTCGTCTTATAGGTAGTCCCTGAGGTCCTCGAGATCGCCATAGATGTCGTCCTAGAGGTCGCCCTAGACGTCGTTTTTAACATCTTCCTCTTGGACGTTGTTCTCGACGTCGTCCTAGCAAGCAGATAAACCCGCGTCGCGCATACACGGAGCGGCAGTACGCACACACTCACAGTAGCGCCCAAGCTGCAAAGCCGTTATTGGCTCGAGTTCAGCTAGTTGGTACAGGGTGAATGATGGTGGTGAAGCAGCTTGAATATTATTTAGAGTGATAGAACGAGGCACACATACGAAGCTGCAATGGTGGTGGGGAAACAGCTTGAACATTAAACGATTACACAGAGACAGAAGATTAAACAATTACACGGACGAAGCGATCACTAAATTTGAAAGTGGCGCATTGCAGTCGAACTGACGGCAATTATTGCGTCGTAGACTGATCATAAAATAAAGTTTTTTCTCAAAATTTTCATTGTCGTATTTACGGTGAGCTGCGACGTGAGTCTCGTGGCGAATGCTGTCGCAGTTCATAGACAACCAACAATAGTGGTCTCTGCAGCCCAGTTTTTCGCTTCTAATTTTGTTTCTTTTTTTGTTACGCCCATCGAAGTTTTCTTTGCAAACTCTATCAGGTCGCATCAATATTCTTGCTCTTCGTGTTACATTAATTTCGAGCCTTGAAGTTCTGAAACCAAATTTTATGTTGATGAAAGGTAACTTTCGGTCGTTAAATTGCAAACATAAAATTATTTCATTCAGCTTTCCTAATGTCCAGTTAGATTAGCACTGCGGCAGCTACGACCTAGCTTGACTGTTCCCCCGGAGGGCTTGCACAGGCTCCACGGGCACTGAAACAGCAGACGTCCGCAAAACGTTAGCAGTTCGAACATTGCGGCTGGAATGGCTGTTGCTCTAAGCTTCAACAAAAATGTGAAAATCATAGGAACGCTGTGTTCGCCTTTTTATGTACAATGTCCCTCGTAAAAAAGAAAAAAAAAAAGCTTTCAAAATATTGAAGTTTAACTTGGTTCTAAACTCTTGACAGCCCTCTCATCTCGAACACGTGCGCTTTGTTTTGTTCTAACGACGCACCGGATGAGGGAATAAAAGCGGCGCGCTCGCTCGGCGGAGTGAACGTGCCCCCGTCTCCGACGACGGTCGCCGATAGAGCAGCCCTCGAAACGAGTGGTGGGACCCTCGATAAAAGATTACATCGCTCGTCCCCCGGGCGAGACGCTCGCCCGACACAATGAGTAACAAACGCTCGCCATTGTCTCGATCACGAAATCGCCGCGGAGCTTCCTTTCTTCCTTCTCCTGGACGCTTCCCGCTTTATTATCGACTTCCAGCTGGAAGCAGAAGAAGAGGAGCGGAGTCCGGCCGCGTTGGGCGACAGCGGCTGACGTCGCAAATTGTGTCCTCGGGCGGAACGGGGAAGGGGCGCTTTGGAAACGTTGTCGCCGCTTTTGAGGACTAAAGGGCACGGAGGGGATGCGGGGCGGTGGTAATAGCGGGTGGCACTCAGTTGATCGAACGTCGTTCTAGAGAGCGAAGTCCAGCCCCCGACATGTCATCGTAAGACACTTTGGCGAATTCGGTCGCAGTGAGGCGGCGTGTACAGGTGGGCCAGGTGGGTTAACATTTTTGTAATGAACCACCGCAGACTGTCGCCGCGAAGCGGCGTGAACGGGGGGAGGGGGGCTGGGTGGGTTAACAAGCGCCCCAGTGATACACGTCATTCGCGAAAACGCCGATTCGCTCGAATGGACGGTTTTCGATAAAGCGCCATGCGCTAAAATGTCATTGGATCATGTCATATAGAAACCCAGTTATGGCAATGATAACATTTATTCAGCTCGGGGGTGTTGCGGCACCGCAGTAAAATGAGCAGCACCAGAAGCCTTTGGTGCCTCTGTTACATAAAAATGCTAACATACGTGCACGAAATAAAACAAAAAAAACAACAACATTAAGTTTGGTTTTTGCAGGTGCGCCGTGTCGATGACGGTGGAAGGTCCATGAGAATCTTCATCTATACTCTTACTAGATATAATTTAAAAATAAACGCAAACCATTACAGAGGTTCTTGCTGCGATGCGTCTGTCAGGCACGGCTTTATTCGTTTCCTCGGTTTTTTGAGGACATCCTGGTGGGCTGCTGTGAGCACAAATCAACGAGTCACTTTATGTCAGGAGAGTCCAACTTCGGGCTGTTTAAATTTTTGTACTGTGAAGGTCGTGAGTTAGACGGCACCATCGGAGTGAAAAGTGTGGAAGCATCGCTTTCTGCACATTTCCGGGGTATTCTATATAAGTAATCAAACTGCATCCAAAGATCTAGCTAATCACAGATCACATCGCCGACGAATATTTTAACTATGATATTAACTTTTATGCGTGGTAGTCCTGTGGTTATTAAGGAGTTCAAATCGCGAGGAGACCCGAGCGTGCTTTCCTTATTGCAACCAGTAATAAGAGCAATTAAATAAAAAAAATAGGATAACGTATTAAAAATGACTTGTTCAGAGGGTTTAACAGAGCCGCCTTGCTACTGAGGAGGCGATTCTTGCATTGGCACTTGATGTTAGCAGATCGCATTAATGCTGTGTGTAGAATACATATTTATGAAATACAAACATATCGTGTAAGTGAAGGTAGGACAAAACAATATTGGAAGCAAGGAAGAAAGAGCTTGAGTGTCTCGACAAGTAAGATATGATTGATAGTGCATGAAAACTTTTGTATATGTTCACCTTCGTGTGCCCTCGTTCATCTTGACTATCTGGATGGGTTTTGTAATTTAAGGGCCGCTTAAGCCCCCACAAGAGCCAGTACATGAGCTGCGCTTAGAGTACCGGCACTCCGTTCCCCGACATTGTTCTGGGCGCCGCCATTTTGGCTCGTATGCAGAGCAAACGCAACTGCCGATCCGTCATGATTCGAAATCGCAACTTCCTCGGCATTAGATTCGGTGTTAGGAAGCTCATATGATATTGCTTTGCTCTGTCGCGAACTGTTTAAACATTTGTGGAGGGCGGAAAAGCGTTTCCTGTGATTTCAGATAAAGCTTCAGATAACTGGCAACCATGATCTTAAGACACAATATGGCCAAGTGTCGCTACTCTGAAGCGTAGATTATTTAATGGCACTAGCCCCACGATAAGCCAGCTTGTTCGGATCCTGCTCACGCTCCCATTGCCCCAAAAGTAGTGCACGCTGCACCTTCTCAAGTTTTTGTATAGTAAACTTAAGTTAAACGTGTACTTTTGTTTGAAACAAGTTTCGCTCCACCGTCCAAGCTCTTTCCGAGGTTTGCCGGATCGGACATTTTTTTTTTCTTCAAGAATTGTTCTGCGCATGTGCAGGCCTCAATCCCGCGGAAGCTGAAAGTTCGGGAAGAAGGTCGCGGTACCTCCTTGTGCTTCCTCCGTGACTCATTTCCTTTCTTTACACCAACAGCACTTCAAACTTTCGCCGCTTGGTGTCGTCTTTGTGTGAAAGCAGTCCGTTGTGAGACGCCTAACCACATTTCCTATTTTAAAACCATGTTCCCGCCGCTGTCCCGTGTGCGCAGGTGAAGACGTGGTTCCAGAACAGGCGCATGAAGCACAAGAAGCAGATGCGCAAGGCCGGCGAGGAGTCCTCGTCGGCGGGAGGGAACCCGCTCTCCGACGACTCCAACCCAGGATCGTGCGGCTCCGACCTCGACGCCGAGTTGGACGTGGTCGGGGACGGTTCGCGATGAGCCCGAGGCGCCTCCCGGCAGTCGACGGAAGGGCACGCGCGCCGACGCGGGATGCGGTGGAGGCGCCGTGGCACCCGACGTCTCCTGTAGAACACGAGGCTCCAGTGTGGAAGGCCGTGGCGTCACGTGATAATGAGTGACGATGACTCAGCTTTTGTGAACTAGAAAAAATATGAATACACGATTCAAATGAAGGCGACGCCACCCAGCGGAAAAGACGTAAAGGAGAGGAGCAGGGAGTTATCGCTTAATTAAGTGGGCAGCAAGACCTGGCTCCGCCTGTCGGTCAAAATAGAAAGCGCAGTAAGGAGGATTAAATGCGCGAGGTTGGAGTTGGGAATAGACATCGGCAGGAAATTTATGACGCCTCGAACGGAGGACTTACACTTGAATTAGGCATAAGTTAGTTTTTTTTTTTTTTTCAATAATAAAAACATAATTTGCGTACTTGCTTTGATAATTAATAAAGTTAAAGTATTTGCTCAGTAAACGATCCTGTAAAGAAAAGAATAAATAAAATGCTGATTTTACGGAAAGTCGGAACAAAATCAACGATTAAAGAATTCCCCACATAATCGCCTCTAGAGGTAAAAAAAAAAAAAAATCGCCTGCCATCGTTTTGTTATGGCACCGACAGGAGAACGTGACATCAGCGGCGCCCAATCACGTCACACTTCCTCGCGTATTTGTATTCGTTTCACCTCTTTGTCACGTGACAAGCCTCGCGTTCTAGGATACGTTGGTGGAACTTCTAGAATGTGCCACCTGGACTTTTGGATCCCGGATAGTGTGCTTGTGCAGTGAACCAACTATCGACATTTTTGGGCTGGACTCCCCGAAGATAGATTGTCAACTCTTCTTTCGGACATGAATTGCGTGCAAACGCACGAGGGTGTATGATGTGCAAATGTGTTCGAGCGACGGACGAAAAAAAACCAAAAAACGTGTATCGGGATGTGCAGATACGGCCGGCAGATGGCACACGGTGTTCGGCTGCGGGACACCGACTACAAGGGGCGGAAAGCTATTAGGGAGTTTTAGGGAACACATTTGATACGGCACAATGCGCCGTCCGGTACGAACTGTGCACGTGAGAGTCTTCTACAATAGCGCATGCGCAGTTTGTACCGGAGGGCCCACCGTACCGTATCGGGTGTGCAGACACGGTTCCCTGAAACTCCCTAATAACATGGCGCCTTGGTCACACTGCATATATACGTGCATCGTACGAAAGGCGATGCACGTATATATGCTACAGAGGTCTACAGACGCTCCGTGACAAGACGTGTTTCCTCCTTGTACAAGAACTTACTGTATACACTCGTTCGAAGCATGCGTACGAAGCAAACATTCTCCGTACTACGCTTTGAAATGTGTCTGCAAAGAATTCTTTCATCATGCCTTCGGCGAACCGCGTGCGTCTTTTGTGTAATGAACGAGTGGCGTGACGGCGGTTTTCAATGCGACTGGAAGCTGGTGTTTACGCGGATACAAGGTCGCTTAGTTTCACGGCCAAATACAAATGCCTATGTAGGCGAAGAAGAAGCGAAAAGACTCACCCGGGATAAAACCAGGAATATTAGGGACAAGTTTTGTGCGTTTATGCCCGCTCGTTGACTCCTTTTCAGCTGCCATGGACTTTCTTTTTGAAGCGATTCGAAGGATCCATTTTGTCTCGTGGGGTATGAGGAATCGATTAACAAGTAAGAAGGCTCTTTAGAAGCTATATTTAGTTGGACAGATCTTGTAAAGTGTCGAATGCAAAGCAGACTTCTTGTGAGTATGTAAAAAGTAAATATTACTCGAGCAACATGCAACTTAGAAAGACAAACAGTTAGGTCAGCCGAGCAGCCAGGTCAACCAAGGGAAACGTCATAGGTTTTGATGTCATTTCTTCTCATTATTGTTTGACTTATTGTGTTAGGTATCTTCTTTTTAGAATGGTGCTTCCAAATCCTTGCTGAGAACGGTTTAAGACTAAAAAGAAAAACGAATGAAGAGGCTGGCCTGACAGCGAGAAGGTCCTTATAAAACTTCGCAGTTTAAGCGAGCCGACTGGTACAAACTGCAAGAACCGGCATCAGTTGAAACGCGAAGTCATGACAACAAAATGGGCTCCATCCGATGAATTGATGCCATGGTTAGAGTCTGAAAACAGGAGGGTCAACGAAGAGCTAAATGCTAGTTGCACTTAGCTCTGAGAGTGAAACTGAAGGATACTTGTTTTGTTGTGGCTTTTGCTGCACGGTTGCCGTGTCTAGAGCCAGGACTTTGAATTAAAATCCAAACATTCTAGTCATTTTGATTTACATGGCATCTGACAGACGTGTTTTTGTTCTATCCTCTTCTGAATGTTTTTTTTTTTTAATTTGAACTTTTTACATTTTGGGATGATCAAAGAAATCTTCTATTTTTATGTTTTTGCCACACATTGTTCAGGTTGCTCCTTTTTGAACGAATAAATTTGTTCAGTGTTGTTTGCTTTGAAATTCACGTGTTCTTATTTTTATTTTTTTATAATTATAGAGAATTTTGTGAGCAATGGTACTCAATTTTACAATACATCGACTCCGGGTGCCTTCGTGGATATATATATATATATATATGTTCATCCGTGCCAAAGTGGCGAGCGATTCTTTTTGGACCACTTCAATTTTTCCGCATGTGGGGTTTGATATTGTAAACAGTCGCATAGTCTTTAGGATACAAAACATTTAAAAATTGACAACCTGGCACGCAAACTTCACAAGCCAACACGCGCAATATAGTTTTTTTTTTTTTTGCGCTGAAAAGCGCGTGAGTCAGAATCACGCCAATTTTAAGTTTTGCCACTTTTGTTCCTGTTTATTTTTTAAGTATTTTTATCGTATTGTATTATACCTTATTTATTTCGACAGCAATGAGCTTTGGTAAATAAGTGAGATAACAGCTCCGCCTTTAAGCATAAATCTGTGAGAGTAGATAGAGCATTTTATCCCTGACAGCATCAAATTTCCATCGCACCTAGGGATCGAAAGGTGAAACTGTCCGAAACATTTTGGACCAAGTCTGCAATACTATAAGCCCTTTGCAAACACTGCAAAAGTTTACAACCCAACGGTAAATAGGAGCTGTCGCTACCTCGATAATTCTGGCTTTTGCGCGCTCAGTTGGTCTCGTCGGAAAGCGAGTAAAGGCACATCTCTGGGAAGGTTACGCTTGAGACGGGGGAAGCAGACGACAGGTCGCTGAGGCCGACACTTGCGTACCACCACCTACCCACGAAGGCGTCCCAATGTAAAACAAATCACAACACTTTAAAAAAAAAATTCCCCCCGAAAAGTAATTTCAGTGTTTTTTTTTTTTTTTTTTTTTTTCCATTCCAGTAATAAACTATGCATCGCAGAACCGTGACCGCTGGATCGAGACCGATTGCTCAGTTTCCTGCCAATTGTAGCGCTAGCGGTCCGGACCAGATGTCAAAGTTTTATCATTAATCGCCATTTTATTAAAGAAGTTATGAGCCATTTGTTAGCAAATTTCAATAGGAAAATGAGGCCTGTTCCAGGTAGCTGACGCCATTAGTCTCCATGTGTTCACTGACTTCGTCGGCCCTCTTAAAACTTTTGAATCAGATAACAATAGGTTCCGGAAATTTGACATCTATCTAGTCCGAACCCCTGGCGCTAAATTTGGGCGGAGACGGAGCGTTCAAACAAAGTTAAGTAATTTATTTCTGTGCCCCCCCCCCCCCCCCAAAAAAAAAAAAACACAAAAAAACACTACTTTTTTTTTAATTTTATATGTGTCTGTGTGTGTGTGTGTGGGAGGGGGGGGGAGGGGCATTTTCTACCTTTTTATTTCCTCTTTTTCAGTGCACCAAACGTTCGAACCGTGTAACAACTGAACTGGGGACGCATTTCGAGACGCGTATTTTTTGCCCTTGTAGGTTAGAACTAAACAAGTTCATTAAAATATCTGTGTTACGGCGCAGTAGCGAGCGTTTATCCAGAGAAATATCCCAAAATAATCCCGTATTCTTTAGGAAATATACGTAGCGAAACTAGAACGGGAGAGTCGAGAGAAATATAAAAAGGCGTTTCAAAAGTTTCTACGGACACGAAAGATTCTACACACGTGACACTTTTAGTGCGAACAAGTAATCACCGGTTTTCTGCTGTTTTTTTTTTTATATATATAGTCAAAAAATTTGTTACAAAACTACTGATATGATGAAAAGCCTTTTGGCTTTTCATCATATCAGTGGAGGCTGATATGATATGGAGGGGGGCGAGTTAGAAAAGGGTTAGGGAGCTAGGGTCGAAAGAAGGAAACAGAGGAAGAAATAGGAAAGGAGGGAGAGGTAGGGGTGGGCCATAGTTTGGATTAACTTAGTGTGCCCTCATGTGCGCTTTGCTTATGGTGATGACATTCTTTGTAGCACCCGATGCCGACAGCACACGCTCCGAGAAGAATACAAAAAGAAAAAATGTCGGTCACAATATGCCGTCGTGGCCCTGTCAATGCCAAGAGCTCGTGCCAGGGGAAGCGCTTGCTCACGCTCAGGAACAAAAAAGAAACAAGCGTTCGGAACAAACTGGTCAGATGCCATCACCCTATGCAAAGCGCACATGAGGGCACCCTAAATTAACTCTACTTTTCTTCACCCCCGATCCACAACACTACTAAGGCCACCCACGAGAGCGATCGCCCCCATCCTGCGGCCCACCTGCTCGAGGGCTCAAACAAACAATTCGCCTCCTGCTTGCACAGGCTTTGTACCGGGTGTTCCTTCACTGCTGTGGCAATTCATAGTTTTGATTCAACAGTCAGCCAAAACTGCTCAACCTGTGATGTCCCTGAGGACATAGAGCACCTCCTTTGTGTCTGACCAGCTTGAGTGGATGCCAGAAAATTCTTCGACGAGGAACTGCAGGAACTCGTGAAAGCTTCGGAAACACGCAGGCGGGTGATCTTCCTCCAAAGATTCGCGCATCAAGATGATTTCGCTTCATTTCCTT